CAACAAGGAGTAGAGTAATTTCACAAGGTCATCACGCTGCGTCGAAGCACCCTCGACATCCAAAAATATGGTGCACAGTTCCTTCTTGATCAATTTAGTTTTGTTGGTGAGAACGGTTTCCAAGGAATTAGTATCAAGGCCCAGAAAGTCGGCAACCAAATCTAAAACGTCCACATTCTTCACGAACGCCGAGTCTTTCATTCTGTTGTTGGGATCTTGCATGAATTGTAAGTTACCCAGATGTAGAATAGCGGCCAGAAGTTGAAACATCTGAGCCACGTGCCTTTTGTGGAATCCTAAAGATTTCAGGGCCTGCTTCAGCTCATTAAAGTTGTCAATGTCCTCGGCGCTAGGCCCTCGTGTTCCTCTAGGAACGTTTAGGTAACGGTATTGAGAGGCATCGGTGAGATGAAGATGAGATTTCTCCTCTTGTGAAGCACCAGCGATAAAATAATAAAAGACGTGAAAGTTTCGTTCATTTGGTGGAACATTGGCGACGCGATTTTTGTCCAAAAGATAATCGAGTGTCTTTGCGCCAATCAATTTTCCGCGTTCACTAAACTGTAGCTCGGTATATTTTCCGAAACGAGATGCATTATTGTTTACTATTGTCTTTGAATTTCCGAAAGATTCGAGGATAAATTCTGAGTAAGGAACTTGTGTTTGAATTCTTGATTCTTTTTTATGATGGGCGCTCAGGGCGATCAGCTGTTTAACCAATAGCTTACGGGTCTCCGATTTCCCGCTACCCGACTCACCACTAGGATATCGAGAAAAAATGAGCAAAATGACGCAATTTGTTGCATTTTCGGTGAAAGAAATTTTCAGTGACCTACCTTAAGATGACGGATTGGTCTTGTCCTGTTCGTCGCATGTGTAGATAGGCCTGAGAGGCGATTTGAAAAGCGTGCGGAGGTAGTTGATTCTTTTGAGCCGAGGTGTCTTTGTAGTCGGCGACATATTCTTGTACGGTAGTATCGCTAAAAATGGGTAGAGCTTTGTAAGGATTCACGGCTACAAGAGCGGAATGGTTTAAACGAGTGTATATGGTGTCCCTCTGATAACGTTCGCGAAGGGTTGACGTTATCGAGTCTTG